AAAAGAGGCTGACTTTTTGGAATGTTGTTCATGTTAATCCCCCCATCACCATCAATCAATTTCCTCTTCGAACAAAAATTTCCTAATAAACACAAATAAAATTTGCTAAATTGTCCTGCGTGTCATACATTCAGCGGAGCGTGGATTGTTTTCAAATCAGGCAAATAGGTGCTCCTTTAATACCAGTGATTATTGGTTTTTTAATCGACAGAAACGAACACATATACAAATATTTTAAAATTATCCTACACACCATGCATTCAAATGGTTCCCCAGTTGTATGTGTGTCATCATCCACCCATTTCTGTAACCACCACTTCGAAGTTATTTGATAAAATTAAATATTAAATTTTAAATAGGGAGTACTAATATTAAATTTTAAAGCAGTTCAAGGAAAAGAAAGGAAAAGACAGTGTGCGAAGTAATATGATTTTCTCATATCTAATACTTATCTAATTTAAATAACTACATTTAATTTACGTTGTAATTTAATATTTGTAGGATTGATGTGATTTGGCTAAAGAGATGAAAAAAATAAATATAACACCACTTCACTGATGAGGATATCGAAATAAAGTAACTCAGTCCTTACATTGTTACAAGGAACTATATTTTTTAAGTAATATATTTTACTAGGATTTATTTTGCTTTCTTTATGTATAACTAGGTTGTTGTGTATTCTCCTAACTTAGGATTTCACATATGTATTCACACAAGAACATTCAAGAAAGTAACGAAGAGCGTGTTCAATAAAAAGAAAGTTCAATGAACTTTTTTGATGAATGATCTATTAACTACATTATTTTATACTACATACATATATAGTATTCTGTAAAGTTAAATCATATGTTTGATGTTTGATTTTGTTTGGATTATTATATTGAATTGGTTGACATGGAATGGTATTACGAGTATGATTATAGCGTGAATTGATATAAATTGTATTTCTTTAATTAAAGGTCCAGTTATATAAGTTATGTACATATATTAATATTGTTTTAAGGGTTATATTTTTAAGGAAAATTTTGTCGATTTTTTTAAAAAAGGGCTCATATTGATTTGCGATTTTTCTTAATTTTCTTGATCGATTATATTGTGTAGTACAAAATATTGGGCCGTGAACAATTCCTTGCGATTTCTTTTGTGCCTTCAGACACGGACAATTACTAGTCTATACAATAAAGTAGAGTTGAGTTTAAATCCTAAAACTTATCTTGACTTTTTGCAGTTATAAGTTATATCCAATAAGAAGCAACTACATAATGTACAACCAGTATAGGAGTTTTTTCTATTTTGTGTAATGATTTTCTATGGAGTTGCTCAACTAACTTATGCATATTTGTTTTAATTATGAGTCATGTTTCTTGATATAAATTACTAATTTTATTATATAAATTGTGTGTATACAAGTTGATGTTGTTTAGGATTGTGTCTTAGAGAAAACTTTATCATTCTTTTTTTAAAAAAAATATTGGATAGACATTCATTGATAATATTTTTTTGTTATTTTATACTTTCAAACACGAACAATAACAAGTACATATATATATTACTATTAATTGGTTAAGCACCTAAAAAAAAATGAGTCTCTTTCAAAATTTGTAAAGTCAAATTTTTTACTCAATTTTCAAAATTTTCTAGGAGAATCTTTCCTTTTTTAGAACCATAAGAGTGCTTGGGGCACTGGTTACCATTTTCCCCATCTTTCTGAGAAATTATGTAGTGGTTGCTTTCTATGGCTTTTTGGGAAAGCCAGAGGAAATGCCAAGCATCATACTGTGGGATTTGGTGTGAGCAGGGCCGGCCCGACAGTGTGTGTGGGTTTTAGGCCCCACTTGTAAAAGAGACTTCATATTTATAACTAGTCAATGCGCGTCCCTAAAGTACTATACAATAAATAAAATAATTATCCAAATTCAAAAACAATAACCTAAAAATATTTATATAAATTATTTTTTTTAAATGGCTCGAAATATATCGTCGATCATATCATCCATATTAATGAAACTATCATAAAAATATATAAAAACTCTCCAAAATAACAACATATATACAAATGCCTTTGGAAAAAAAAATAAATACTAACATAACCCATTGAAATTTGTAATCTTTAAGTAATAAATAAAATATTTTATATTTATAAAATTCGTGAATTTATCACCTTTACTATCACTCAATCCAACAACACAATATAATTATAAACTCAACTACCATATTTTCAATCCATCCTATCCCCATGTAATAAATACCTAAAGCAAAAAAAAAAAAAAATAATAGAACACAATTAAATTCATAATCTTTAAGCGATAAATAAAATCAATCACATCTTTTTTTTTTATAAAACTCATGAATTTATCGCTACTATCATCATTCAACTCCAAATGACACAGTATAATTATAAATTTAATCACCAAGTGTCTAATCCTCCACATATAAATATAGACAGAAACAAACCCACTCACATTTTTTTATGTTACTAACAAACCCTCTTAATCAATAATTTCTTTTATTATAAGTACAATAATTCAAAATTTTAAGATAAAATAATAATAAATAAATATTTAATTAAAAATAGGATAAATTTATGGACATCCTCTGAATTTTGGTAATATTACACGAACACCTCCTAACATTTTATAAATAACACAGAGACCCCCTGAGGTTTGAAATTCGTTGGATGGAGACTACCTATGTCTCACTTCTATCAATATTGCTAACGAAAATTGATAATTTTATCGTAAAAAAATTTATTATTTTTACAATTGCCCTTCTCTAAATTTAGTACCAAAAAAATTAAAAATTTAATAAAATAAAATAAAATTTGATTTAATACCCAAAAAATTGATTAAATAAATTTTAATATTAATTTGGTAACAACAAAAATTAATTTGATACTAATTAAACAAAGTTGAATATAAATTAGACAAAATTAAATGTCAATTTTTGATAATATTATATATTAATTTACAATGTAAAGTTTATTTCGTGTTGAATACTATTTGGTGTTTATAGTCAGTGTGCTATTTTTTATTATGTTAAGTATTATTTACATGGAATTAGTTTCATGAAATAAATAATTATACAACATGTAATTTTATCTTTATAGAGTAAATAATAACAAAAAAAACACAGGGCAAACAAAAAGCTTAAACCCCATAAGAAAATTCCGTGTTTAATGGTCTATACACATCCATAAATCAGCCCACAAAATTCAAAAGTCATATCTCTCCCTATGCCCTATAGCTTTACAAAATTCATATCTTCAAACATATCTAAAAACACTCCACTCAATTTTGCTGGCCAGAGTGATAATCTAAATTTAATCAAGAGAGAATCAAAATATTAAATTTTAATTTTTAAAATAACATTGATAAATTAAATTTTATTGTTTAATATTATTAGGACTTTTGTTTAAATTCAAGATTTTTTTTCTTAGTATTATAAATAATTTTTGATCATATGCATTTAATTTGATTATATATTATAGACAATCACCCAAATATAAAAATTTTAAAAAAAAAATTAAAAAATATTTTGATAAATTTGTTACAAGTATTAAACAACAAGATATATATGTAATTGATAAAGTATCCTTCCAAAAAGTGTAACCCAAATGAACATCATTTTTTGGATGAGTGTTGAATGAGTAAGTCCTACTTAAAAAATTGATGAGGCTCATTCATCCAAGGAATGAATTGAGTTATTTAGTATTATTCAAATGTTCCTAAAAATTACAATGAAAAATATAGAGTGACATTCACAATAACATATACACAATGCCATAGAAATAGCGACAAAATAAACATCAAACCGAGATCAAGCTTTGAGAACAGTGACAGTGATGAGGTCAGGGAACGTGCAATTGGTGAAATGCAGAGTTTGAGTACTCTGTGGTGCGTTATCAAGAACGTAATGTGTAAGGTACGAGTTTGAGAAACAGCAAGAACAAGGGAATTCAGTGGTTTACCAACTAAAGAGTTTAGCTAATTCATTTTAATGGAGTTTCTTACTCCTTTGAGGTTTTCTATTATTTGGGGAAGAAGATAAGGGTTACAGGCATTAAGAATTCAAAAATTGGGATCCTTCGCAGGAGGGATTGCTTCGTGTAATTATACCGTTATCTCTGGAGTGGTCCTCACGTCAATATCACATGGTCCCTTAGTTTATTGAGATTTTAATAAGAAAATATTTGACCGTCAGTGACTACATTTTTTAGGTGTGACGTGACTTTCTAGAATATGTTGAGGTGACGTTTAGATATAATGTAGTCTTCCATGTATGTGAGAGGTCGTGAAGGGCTACAGATTATGATGCCTTATATTGCACAAATTTGTGATCAGTAGGGATATGATATTTGATAAGTCTGTTATGCTAACTTCTAACGAGCAGAAAAATATTCAAATAGAAGAGAAAAAGGTGATCATATGGAGGTGGAGCTTGGTAACCAGAAGATATTATCTATATATTATAGTGTTGTGCAATATTTAACAAATTGCCATGAAACTTAGTTTTGTCTACTTTCCAAAGTCTTGAACTCATTTCATCAAAGACTTTGACTTGGCTACTTGCCCCAGTCAACCTAAGTCATACAAAATGTTCACAACAATTGTACTTTTCTTCGTTATTTCTTCACCAATTCTTAATTTCTTGATCAATTTTAATTTATTTTAAAAAAATAAGTATAAGGACTGCTTCGAGATGTATATTACTTTGTAAGATAATTGAACATACTCTAGATCCGCTATTTAGAGTAGGAATTTTGTAAAAAAAAATGGAGGACTAATTTTTTAAGTTATTAAATAAAAATTTATTGGACTTGTCCTATTAACAGGTCCCTGATACAGAAAGGCAAGGATTAGTAAGTTTTGTTTTGATTAAATACAGTTTACCAACTAAAATGGTAGGTAAAGATCACATCACTCATGAATCAATGAATGCCACAATTGATGAGATTTTCTTTTACAAGTCAATGCCTGTTTTAGACCTCCAGGAGTACTACAAGTTAACTCAGTTTTTAGGCAATTCTTCTTCGTCGATAAATAACTGAAACACTCACAGCCCTCAGCATCACTACAAATTCACTTGCCTAAGAAAACGAAAACCATGGTAACGCCCACTAGTGTTCTTGTGTTATTATTTGCTGTTCTTTCCATGCAAGGACTTGGGTTTAGTAGTTGCAGTACAAGTTACTCTAATGGAAGCTGCATCGAGAGTGAGCGAAAAGCTCTTGTTAAGTTCAGAGAAAGCCTTGCAGATCAATCAAATCGGTTGTTGTCATGGATCGGGGAAGACTGCTGTAAATGGAATGGAGTTGTCTGCAGTGAAAAAACAGGCCATGTCATAAGGCTTAATCTTCGTAATCCAACACCTTTGGTAATGGGTGGTTATGAAAATTACAGAAGAAGCTGCTTGGGAGGTGAGTTGAGCCCGTCTTTACTTGATTTAAAGCATTTACGTTACTTGGACTTGAGCAGGAACTATTTTTCGGGAACCCCAATTCCTGAATTCTTAGGCTCCCTTGAAAATTTGAGGTATCTTAACCTCTCTAATTCCGAATTCGGAGGAAAGATTCCACATCGTCTAGGAAACCTCTCGAGCTTGAATTCCCTCGACTTTAGAGGGAGCTTTGGATTGATGGCTGATAGTCTATGGTGGGTGTCTAAACTTTCCTCTTTGAAACAATTAGACATGACTGGGGTCAACCTAGGGAATGCTACAGATTGGTTACAAGCAATAAATAAGCTATCTTCTCTGGTGGTATTGAACTTAGCCTTTTGTTATGTTCTCACCATCCCTCCTCTTTCACATGTTAATTTCACCACTCTTGCTTCACTTGACCTCAGCTGGAATCAAATTCACTCCACCATGCCTCTCTTTTTGAATAACATTAGTGGCCCTGTTCATCTCGACCTACAAGGTAATCATTTTTACGGGCCAGTTCCTGATACTCTTGGAAGATTGACCTCTCTCACTTACATTGATCTTTCTATTAACTCCTTCAATGCTTCAATACCTGATTCACTAGGTAACTTGAGGAGTCTCGTTCATTTGGATCTCTCTCTGAATGAATTTCAAGGCAATATACCAATCACCCTGAACAATCTATGCAGCTTACACGTACTAGATTTGTCGTTTAATAGGTTTAGTGGAGAGATTCCGAGTTTTGCTGGAACACCGATTGGTTGTCTCAAGAATTTAGAGCTCCTTCTCCTTACTTGGAACTCATTCCATGGTTCAATCCCAGAGTCATTTGGAACACTATCACATTTGAGAGAGTTGGATGTTGGTGGTTCTCACTTAAATGAAACTGTTCCCTTGAGTATTGGACAACTTTCAAAGCTAGAAAGGTTGGATATTTCTAACAATTCTTTTGTTGGAATCGTATCTGAATTTCACTTTTCTAAGCTGATCAATTTGAAAGAATTGTGCATATCCTCAAACTCGTTCATTTTAAATGTGAGCTCTGAATGGATTCCTCCATTCCAACTCCGAATCATTAAAGCAATGTCCTTTAATTTGGGACCTCAATTTCCTCAATGGCTTCAAACACAAGCACATGTTGAGCGGATGATCATTTCAAATGCAAGCATCTCGGGTACCATACCTGATTGGTTTGAGAAAGTGTATTCTCGTATATTCGTCTTAGATCTATCCCACAACAACTTAAGTGGAAAACTGCCAAAATTTGTGGAATACAATCCTTCTGATGGTGATGGTATATCAAGGAGGGGTATAATATTGAAATCCAACAGATTTGACGGACAGTTGACACCGATCCCTTCAGATGTTTATTTTATAGATATCTCTAATAACTTGCTTTCTGGACATATTCCTCCAATTCAAGATGCTGGGAGTTTGACATTGGAGTATCTGGTTCTATCCAATAACTATTTGTCCGGTGAAATCCCAACCTTTTTATGTCAGGTAAAGTCGCTGCAAGCTATTGATCTCTCAAAAAACCAATTCTCAGGAAGACTCCCTTGGTGCTTGGGGGATTTGCAACAATTGAAGATTCTAGATCTGACTGATAACAACTTAGAAGGTGAAATTCCAAGTTCTTTAGGTTCTCTAAGGTGGCTTACTTCCTTACACTTGCACAACAATAAGTTTTGTGGGAGGCTTCCATTGTCTTTACATAATTTAACTAGGCTGAGAATCTTTGATCTAAGTGGAAATGCATTCAATGATATTATCCCTCCATGGATAGGAGAAAATCTAAATAATTTGAAATTTCTTAGTCTTCAGTCAAATAAGTTCCATGGCGATATTCCTCTCCAGCTCTGTTGGCTCTCTGCGCTTCAACTGTTAAATGTGGCACATAATAGTATTACTGGTAATATTCCTCTCTGCTTTGGAAATTTTACCGCCATGGTTGTGGACCACATTGCAGATGCAAATGGTGTCAGCTTGGATTTTAGTAGCGGAAATTATACGGGAGGATATTACCAGTACAATGTTATAGATTCTATGAAAGGAACAGAACTTCAATTTACCACAACAGTGCCACTTATTGCTTCCATAGACCTTTCAAACAATGACATAGATGGAGAGATTCCGGAAGAGTTAATGGATCTCTTTGGGTTACAATCTTTGAATTTGGCTGGAAATCATCTAAAAGGAAGGATTCCTGAGAAAATTGGCAACTTGAAGCAATTGGAATCTCTTGATTTATCTAGAAACGAGTTTTCTGGTTCAATTCCCCCAAGCTTGTCAGATTTAAACTTTCTAAGCCGTTTAAATCTGTCATTCAACAACTTATCAGGTCGAATACCTGCGGGACATCAACTACAGACCCTGGATGATCAATCCATTTATACAGGCAACAGTAATCTTTGTGGAGCACCACTCTCAAAGGGTTGTCTAAATGGAAACCCAGTCGACATTCATAAACCTGTTGACACTGAAGGTGGAGAGGGGTCTGTTATTTTGTGGTTCTATGCTGGCATTGGACCTGGTTTCTTGGTTGGTTTCTTGGTCGTTTGTGGTGCCTTGTATTTCAAAAAGTCTTGGAGATATGCATACTTGAGGCTCATCGAAAACGTTTGCAACAGACTACTTTTAGCAAGTGCATTGACTGCTGCCCGGCTGCGGAGGAAGTTCCACAACGTTGAACTACGAGGATGAATGTCATATTTTTCTAAACGGTTTCTCTCTCTCTCCCCCTCTCTCTCTCCATATATATGTATATATATTTACACACAGCCTTATTAGTAAATTAGGTCCAAGTTGTATTACGCTTTTTCCTTTGTTTCTATCTGTTTAAATAAATGAATGAGTTTGTTGGTAGTTTTTACCTACTTGTTTCTCTATCTTTTGCTTTTGGGTATAACAATGAGCTCCAAAACCAAAGGTAATGGTGAAGGTAATGGTAAAGGCAATGGTAATGGAGATGTAGGATTCTGAATGGATCATGTCATGTTGAAAAGTGTTTAAATTATTTTAAGTCAAAATTTGTTCACATAAAATATGATAATAATGAATGTGTAAAATGTACATCATCTATAAAGTCTTATTTAGCAAGATTTTTTGTTTTATTTAGTTGAATTAATATCGATTCATTTACACGATAGAAGCGATACGTCAATTTGCTTACCACTTAAAACCGCTAATATTCAACTCAAATTCGTCTAATGCTGTTCTTTCTTGTGTTGGGTTTTCGGATTGTATTTAGAATTAATAGGCTGCACATTGTCTTATGTAATTATCTGACATACTCTTTTTTTTTCCATGTTTAAGGATTTAATACTGTTAAAATATCAATTTAATAATGCTTAATCATGACTACGCATGTCTAACTATTACGATTCCAAAAAGCAAATTTTCTTTTAAAAGCCGCAGTTAGCCCAAGACTTGCGATAAGTTACAGTTTACCCCCTTAAAATGGTCCTAATTTCACGTTGTTCCCTCACCTATTGATTTAAATACATTGCACCCTCATCTATTAAAATTTGTGAAAATACCCATATATTCTTACATTTTAGATGGAAAATAGTCGAACTGTCAAGTCAAGAAAATTCAAAATAGTCCTCATATATTATTTCCATCTAAAATTTAACAATTTGTCTTTAAGTATCATGGGTTTAAAATATGTAGAGCACAAGGTGTTCAATTAAACAATAAAAATATAAAATCATGACCGCAGTTTAAGATGATAAAGTATAATGAACTCCTAGAAAATGTTAAAAAAAAAAAAAGAATTCCTACACTTCTTTTTTTCTTCAAAGGTTAGGGGTGTCCGGAAACTCCCAGATTTTTATGTGCCAACTAATGGCAAAATATAAGATAGTCTGGGATTAAAAAATTTAGACTGTCAAACTTGAAGGTTTAGAAACTTTTCGTAATCCATGACCAGCACAATTGTGTAGAGCCTACGTGCAGTTACCTTTGTTGATGTGTACTTTGATAGTTTCTCCGCAATGTGTACATAAAATAATCTAGAAGTGTATCAACTCTTTTTTTTTACTACTTAACATGTACTTATCAATTTTGATGGTGCTCGAAAATACTCGACTCAAGTGCAGAACAACAATTCTGGGATTCAATGAGGGGGGATAGTGTGAATATTTAGGTTAAAGGAGAAGAAAAAGATGGAGCTGGATCAAAAACAGTATATAAGTGATTTACCTTAGACGAATGATTAAGGTTAAATCTACTGAAAATAAAGACTCTTGCTTTTTAGAGTTTATATTGATTGAAGAAAAAGATTACAGTGGGTTTCTTGGTTTAGAACATTTTTTGCACAGTGTCTGGTGAATACAAATTTTTGGAACTCCTTTTACACGGTGTGATGGTGTTCTATTTGTACAAGTAATTATCTAGGCTTTCCTACGATTTCTATTTTTTCTTGGCTGATTCTGTGGTCCTCTCCTCTATTGTCTTGTAGTAGTATCTGTCATCTTGACACAAATCGTGCTCACAATCCTTAAACGGAATGTGCACCAATATTCCCTTTATCAGAGAGTACATGTTCGTTTGTGACTCCAGAAGTTGTACTCTTGTCCCCCTAGACACGTGGCGCGATGGGAGACACTCGAGATCTAACGAATGCCGAGCCCTTTGTTTTCGAGTTGATTTTTGCTGAGCTTGATATGGCCGAACAGGAACGAATCGATTTGGATGTTGTTGGACTCTCTTCTTTAGGTTGTAACCTATTCTTATTGTGGGATAGACAAGCTGTGAATGGATCGTTTGGACTGCCACGTAACCAATGGGTCCATTAAGTGCTCTAAATTCTGGGTGGGTGGTCCAAATCAAAATCTTACCGTCGTAAAATTTAAACAACACGATACAAATATGAATTTCAAAACTAGTGTTTTTAAAATGAGTATAAATAGTGTAGCATTTATCATTCCTAGGTAATATAAAATGCACAGTCTTAAGAGCAGACAATTGCCTTTCTTTCTTCATAATCTTGGTTGAACATCATGTTTCAAAAAAGATGCTGACTTTTTGGAATGTTGTTCATGTTAATCCCCCCATCACCATCAGTCAATTTCCTCTTTCAACAAAAATTTCATAATAAACACAAATAAATTTGCTAAATTCTCCCGCATGTCATACGTTCACATCCAGTCTAGCAATATGCCAGCTCATCTCCCAATCTTGATGTACAATTTTTTTAAAAATTGTCATACATACCATGCATTCAAATGATTCCCCACTTATATGTTTACCATTATCCACCCATTTTTATAACCATTCAACTTAGATGTTATTTGATAAAATTAAATATTAAATATTCAATAGTAAATATTAGCTTTTTTAAATTTGAAAATTATTTGGTATGTGCAGAAATTCAATTGCTTAATTAAGTATAATTACTTAATTTGTGAGCTAGCTGAATCTTAATAATTGTTGATTTTTTAATTTTATCTATTTTTCACTGCCACCCCCCCCCCCCCCCCCCCTCACAATCTTAATAATTGTTGATTTTTTAATTTTGTCCATTTTTCACTGCCACCACCACCCCCTCATAATCGATGCCACCATTTCCACAACCCCAAATAGACCACATTGTCAGCAACGTCATTGTGCCACCACCTCCACCATCCCACCACATTATCCATCATCATTCCAATCGCCACTAAACAACATCTTCACCATCCAACCACCACCATTATGTACCACTATCATTTTTGTAGTAAATATTTTATTTTTTTGAATACAAATTTCACATTTTGAGTTAAAATACTATTTTTTGAATAAAAATATCAATTTTTGAATGAAAAATCCACATTTTAAGTGAAAACACCAGTTTTAGAGCGAATATTCCACTTTGTGTGAATATTCTATTTTCGAGTAAAAATGTCACTTTTTGAGAGACAATTTTACTTTTTGAGTGAAAATATTAGGGTCTGTTTGGTTTGCATCACTAAAAATAGTATTCGAAAATAATTTTTGAAAAGAATTTTTAAAAAGTGTTTTTTGATATTTTTGTAATACAAAATTTGTTTAGTTATATGAATTTGAAAATAGTTTTAAAGAACAGAAAATAGTAAAATCTGTTTGGATAATGATCCACAAAATGAATTTTTAACTTATCACTTTTGACCAAAAAAAGAAATTATAACCACAAAATCATTCTCTCTCCAGTCAGGCAGTATCTTCTAGAGCCTTCTCTCCCTCTCTCTCTCCTCTCTCCATTATCTTCTCACAACATCTCTCTCTCTCCATTATCTTTTCACACATCACAAACTTACACACACACACAGCCGTCGCACACATATACATCACACAATACATACACACACACACACATACATGTATATATATATACACAAATTTATAAGGATCTGTTGCACAGAGAGAGAGAGAGGAGATAGGTTGCATGAGAGAGATAGAAGGCTATAGGTTTGTGCTCAAATTTATACTTACGCACACAGATGCACCCACACAAATCTAAAGCTAGATTAAAGATAGGGAAGGAGAAAGGGAAAGTTGCGAGAAAGAAAGAGCTCAATGAAAGTGGTGGAGAAGAAGTGTTACAGTCACCATTTTTTGTCTCCAACAAAACTTGAAGGGGAGACCTCATTAATTTGGAGAAGAGTGTTTTCCGTGTTTTCATTTTGCTTTAGAAAATAGTGAGAACACCATTTTGTTGTTGTCTAAAATTATATTTCAATTCTCAAAATTTTTAAAAAATTGGAGAACAAAAAATCTAACAAACCAGCATCTCCCTTGTTTTTAGAGATTTGAGAACAAAAAACTGTTTTGTAAATACAAACCAAACAGGCCTTTAGTTTTTCATAGAATATTTCACGTTTTGAGTGAACATACCAGTTTTTAGTGAAAATTTCACTTTTTGATTAAATATTCCACTTTTCTGAGTGAAAGTACTAATTTTTGAATTAAAATATCACTTTTGAGTAAACATACCAACTGTGAGTAGGGATAACAGTGAACCGAAGCTGGGGCGGGGGGTGTAGTCTCCATCCTCATACCCGTTTAAAAAAATTTTGTTCATCCCTGGTCTACTCCTGTTAATGGATATGATTTTCACCCTCATCCCCTGTCTGTGGATAAATTTGTAATCTCCGTCCCGTCCACCTTACCTACCCAAGCCCAAATCCAAGCCAACATAATCCAAAATTTTAAATAAATCTAACATTCTAAATAATCCAATATAATTATAGAATATCATAACATAATAAAAGTTTGTCATTTACAACATAATAAAATTTTGTCTACAACGTAATCCAACATAATATAATTAAAAGTTTGTATTCCTTGTAAATCCAACACGATATCATGCAACATTACATAATCCAACATACAAAAATATAAAAACATAAAGATCTACACTTTTACAAACCAAAACCATGAAAAAAATAAAAAAATAAAACAATTTTCAAAAGAAAAAATTATTTAATAATATGTAAATTTGTATTCACAACATATGTATATATTTATAAAATAATAATAATAACGGGTAAAGTGGGGCGGGGAGGGGTGGAGGTAAGTGTCTGTCCATCTCCGCTTTCATCCCCACACGAGTTCATATAAATATTTTTGTATACGTCTACCGTCTAATACGTATGGTCCATCCCTGGTCCAAACAAAACGAGTTTGGACTAATACCCATTTTTACCCAGTCCACTATCATCCCTAGCTGTGAGTGATAATTTCACTCTTTAAGTAAAAATACTACTCTTTAAGTTCTTGAACGAATATTCTACTTTTAAGTGAAAATACCAACATTTAATGAAAATACTAATTTTTGAGTTAAAATACCAATTTTGAGCGACAATATCACTTTTTGATTGAAAAAACAAC